CTTTTGTTGGTTGAAGATTGAGAGCCAGATTTTCCATTATGCCTGACACCTTTGGGCTTCCACTGTGTTTAGTAAAATAGTTACATACTGGGGCTCTGAAAAGTGAATTCACATTTCAAGTGTTATTTACAGCTGATAATCCAACCATTCAGAAACTGCTGCAGCAGTCCTGTTTGTACTACAGCTACCACTTTCTGCAGTTGGGGTTTTTTTTGTTTTGTTTTGGTTTTTTTTGAGCTTAGACACAATTTAATTTATATCAAGGTGTCTAAACTTTTAAAAAGCTGTTTTCTATTCCTGGATTTGCACAGGAGATGAACCTTAGTAGACCCTTGGACCTTCAGGAGGGTTCCAGACTTGTCAATTCCTTGGAGAATCAGATTGTAATACTATGAAATTTTTAATAATACAAGACATTGGGGATCATTCCACTGGCCACAGTGGCTGAGATAGTCCCTTCTCTGTGTTCAGATCAGCAGAAGGCTGCAGCACACCAGCAGTGTGCAGAGCTCCTGTGACACATCTCTGTCAGGAAGGGCAGAGCACAGGGCAGGAAGAAGCAGACAGGGCTGGGCTGTGATCTTCCCACCACCACCACTGCCCTTGCTCTATTGTAGCCATGGCAGGGTCTTGCTCTGTTGGTGGTTTTCATACTAGAAGACATGAAAAGGATATCCTGAAAAGAAAAAGTCATTCTCTTTCTCACCGCTGAAATAATTTTATCTACACTAAAGACTAAGAGCAAATCAAGCATTAAACTCCAAAAAGAGCCAGAGAAAGTTTCTTATATCTTTCTTTCATTACTGTAGAGTTGTATTTTCTCGGTTGCAAACATTACTCTGGAAATGGTGCCTCCATGGAAGTGAAGCAGCCTTTCTGAAAGCTCAGATAGCTGGGCACAGATAAGGAAAAGTGTGATGGTTCACTGCAATATAGAGATGGCCTCAGGCAGATTTTTTTTTTCACTCTAAGTGATTTGTCTTCATTTACAAGTGCCTTAATTTCTCTGTTTCTGAGTCTATAAAATGGAGATACTGCCTTCCTGCATTAGAGGGGGTTCCACTGTGAAGCATTTTGAGATTATTAAATGCACATTATTATCATGTTGAGACTCGAAGGCACTGACCTTGACAAAAAGGTGAGCGACAGCCTGGCTGCATGATCAAGCAGCATTAGTGAAGCCAGCACTTCCCTTTCATGATGCTCAACTGCAATATAATCATCTCTAATGTAGCTGTTGGAGGCACTTCCCAGCCTCACTGGCAGAACTTGCTCAGCAAGGTCTTTTCCACAGCATGCAATTACAAAATGAGAATGGGAGGGAGGGAACGGGATGAATGAAAACAAACATCACTCTAGGAACAACTGTTGGTGGTTAATACTTGACCATTACTTCTTGACAGGATTAATGTCTTTCTAATCACACTAATCCCTTCTGATAACTTTATCCATAATCCATCTATTTCAAAGCAACATCCAGATGGCTTCTGGTGGAGAGGAAGACAAAATAAACATGCAGAATGGGGTCTTAGCAGCAGCTTCTTGTATTTTCCCTTTCTGGGGATATAGGGTTTGATCTTGAGACAGGACAAAAAATGTGCTTTCATCAGACAGCAAGAGAAAAACCTAGAGAATGGCAGTGAAGACAGAAAGTTCTATTTTTATTTGTAAATAAATTACCTGATGCTTATCTGTGACAGCCAGAACAAGCCTAGAGGTGCTCAAAAGGGTTTAGCTACTTGTTTGCATGGGACTAATTAGATTTCCAAGATATTGGAAAGAATTCCCTTCTTTACGTCAAAAATTCTATTTTAGTCTTGGGGGTTTTACGTGGATTTCCCTCAAAGTAGACACAAACCTTAGTACTTGGTTCTTTGGTTCATATAGTTACAAATACTTTAAACAATGTAGACACTGACTTTACCGTTTTAATTAGTCACATATAATTCCTAGAATTGAAGATGTCTTCCCCTTCCCTTTAGGCTCAACAGGTTTTTTTCTATACAAGCTAAGACATGGTGTCTGAACATTAAATTACAATTTTGTGGATTTTTTTTTCCCCCAGACTGGTAAAGGAGTGAGATGTACAGTAATTTTTATAAAAGCTGCAGATTGCTTTTTATTGTTTTAATCCTGTTTTGTCCGTTTGGCAATCATTAAAACACGCTATGGAAGAAGCTACACATGAATCACACGTGTGGAAGCTACTTAAGTACACAGCTTCTCAAATTATTTCAATCTATGTATCAAATATCTTCCCTGTTCTTCCAAGGCCAACCAGATCCTGAGGTTTGACAAGAATTAAAGGTACACTCTTTTCCATTCCAGTGTGTTTCATGAGAGTCTAGCAGTGGAAGCTACGAGAATAGCTTTGTTCTGGTTTAGAAGAATCTTGGGAAACTCTTCAGAAGTTTTTATGTAGCCAAAGATGTCTGATGAAAATTAGAGTTTGAGGGAGGACCTGAGCATGATATAGTGATCTTAGTTTAAACCAGCTGGAAGCTTATTCCTCCTGCCCCCCTCTTCTCTAGTGTCACAATATGACATGAAATAACTCACACATGCATGCTAGATACAAAAGAGGGAAAAAAGAGCAAAAGGAGTGAACTTTATTCCTGACCTCACAATATATAGAATTTCAAAAGTGGCAGTGGATTGGAGGATGAAATTGATACCTCTCCAACCACACTGGTCAAAATAACAGTCCATCAATTCTCTCTTCCCACAAAGAATGCAAAACAATTGTTATTTACATGACAGTGCACGAGAACTCTAGTAGAAATATGTAAACATCAGAAGGCATATAAAACTTTTAGAAGAATTTTAAAACTTTTAAAAGAACAGGGCAACACCCTAGGAAGTAAGAAGAGTACTTTTTCTTGTTGTCCTTTGGCTACATTGTGTGAATGTTAGAACTCTAGAGATAACAGTAATAAACTGCTGTGATGTGACTGTGTATTACCTGCTTTGTACAATAACTGTGATAACCATTATGTCTCTTAATCTTTGTGTCTTTTGTCCTGTTCCTTCTGCTATCAAACACATGAAGTCCAACAAAAAATAGCGAATGAGTGATTACTGTCTCATTCTAGTTACAGGCATTTCTTTCTGAAATGATTCTGAGCTATTGCCTTAAATGACATGACCACTGTTACTCCCCAGCCTTTGAAGAACTGGTTCCAGTGGTCCCTTCCTGAGCCCTGCAGGCCAAAGAGAACACAGGGTTTTGTCTGAGCCCAGACCTCTGTTCATGCTCTGTCACATTCCAGTTACCCCACTGCACCTCCATAGTTAATTACTTTTGATGACTTTCTCATCACAGCATGAACTGAGCATTACTTTATCTGGTGGCAGGATAATCTCATTACAGATGATGATCTTGTTAATGAATATCCCCAAGACAGAGCAATCTCATTATTAGCCCCCTCAGGATTTATCACCTATGAGCCAAGGTAAGGTTAGATTCCAGCTGAACAACATCCTCCCAAATCCTAAGGCCCTGCATCTTGAGGCTGAGGCAACAGCCCTAACTCACCTGAACCACTGGACATATTTAATTAGGATTTTTGTCCCTAAGTACTTCTGGAAAGACTTCTCAGGTGAGCAATCAAGACAGGGTTCATTCATCTGCTGTTCTGTAGAACCAACAACATGCCCAGAGGCATCAAGGGCAACAGGAACAGTGTGGCTTCCCCACAGGGACAGTGGCTCCAGGGAGGGACGGGGAGTGAAAGCTCTGTCTCCTTGGCAGTGCCCTCTGCCAGGAATTGCTCTGCCTGCAAGTTACAGTCAGCCCTTCACACCACTGGTGTCACCTGCATCTACAAAGAACCCTGAAAATTGTTATCATGGAAAACATGCAACTGGTTAAAAATCAACCTGATTCTCATTTTCTTTTCTTTTTTTTTTTTTTTTCTGGGAATGTGGGAGTGGAACAGTGCTGGACTCTAGTACAATATAGGTATCTACCCTGTGCAGCAATGAGCTGTCAAACTGGCTCAATGGCCTGTGGAAACTCAGCCTGAGAGAAGAGTTCAGTCCTCAAAATCTAATAACAACACAGAGTTGTTGTTTGGTTTTTTTTAACAGAAAACTGTCATATTAATTTGAGAAAAATATATTTAACTGTTTTATTTTTAAAAAATTTAGAATATTTACTCTTCTGCACAGGCTCATCCAAGGGAGATGACAGGGAACAAAGTAGCATTCCTACCGTATTTTCAATATGCAGTGCTGTATTTGTACACAGTGCTTTGCAGACACACAGAAAGGTGGATTTTTATCGAATCCAATGATAAATAAAAGCAAAGAACAATGGTTACAAGAGGTGTTTCCTCTGAATCCCATCCATTGTCCCCATTTAGACTGAAGGCACAATGAATTACAGTCTGCTCCCCATGTGCTTCCTGGCAAAATAAAAATATATAGGATTTATTTAAAAAGAAAAAAAAGTTATTCTTTTTGTTAAAGAATGGACTATATGACAAAATTGCCCTTAGTGTTTTTAATTTTAAAATTGTGTCCCCACTTCACACAGGAAGGGCTGAGTTGGTTGATTAGATTTTCTTCAGAGGTCCATTCAAATCTGAATTATTCTATTATTCTGTAAAATTATGTGTAGAATATGACACACAGAGTTTCAATAACTACTGCCACTGCTCCTGTGAACTGAGCCATCACATGTGTAACTTGTGATGAAACTGTCCCTGGAATTTCAGGGAAGAGTCAGTAGGATTCAGTCCCCACATGTGCAGCCTGAACTTGCAAGTTCCTTCCAGTAACCAGGATTTGACCTGGCAATTGGAAAATGCCCCTTCAGACATAGACACTACAGCTTTATTGTTATGGCAAGTTTATTGAAATACTGACATGTAGAATCAGCTGTAAGAGAGGCAGGCAGGCAGGCTGGAATAATTCAGAAATTAGGCTTTCAGCTGCATTAATATAATGCAAAATAATGTTCATTTAAATTCAATTTCTGCTGTGTTTTCTTCCCACAGCTTGATGTCTGGGCTGGCAGCCCTGGATGCCAAGACTTCCAGTCGCTTGGGAATCATAACTGTCACTTACTACCTGTGGACAACCTTTGTGGCTGTGGTTGTGGGAATAATTATGGTGTCCATTATCCACCCTGGTGGAGCAGCACAGAAGGAGAGCACTGAGGAGGGTGGAAAGCCCATCATGAGCTCTGCAGATGCACTGCTGGACTTAATCCGGTAACCACATCCATTCTTTCTGCTTTCTCAAGGCAGCATTTTGTACACAACTGCAGGAGGAACTGTGGCCTGAGCCTCAGTTCTGAATCTAAGGATAAATGTTTGGTTGGGACTGAGAAAAAAGCTTTAGAAGATATTTTTCAAGTTATCAGCTGTTTATACTGGCTGTTTCTTGTAAAATTTAAATGAATGGCCACCAACCAACAACAATGGAGCAGGTCTTTTATACCCCACAGGAGTCCATATAGCCTGTGGACAAATCCATCAAATCCATTATTAGGGTCAAGGGAGTATTAAAATGTCATGTTCATTTAAATAAGACAGTTGCAATTGGCAAAACCTTAAATAAAGGGGTGAAACACACATTTCTCAAAAAATAATTCTCAAAAGTGCTGTTACTGTTGTTCATACTAATTTGCAGATAAAGGACAAAATTAGAAAGACCACTGTTGTGTATTTTTTATTCTGCTTTGGGGCTTTTTCTTATTTGTTTTATTTTGTTTATCAAAAGACAGTTGCTCTTTTAGAACAGCATTAGGGCACTGCTGGAATTTCATGGCTTTGCCTGAAATCCCTTTTTGTCCCAGTATTTCAGGTGCTAGTGGGATTTGTCCCAGGTGCTAGTGGGATTGGTTTGTTGACGGAACATATTCTGTGCCTTGGATTTATTTTGCTCATGCAGAAAGACCAAGTTTTGCCTTTGTTTGGTAGTTCCTCAAGTTGCTGATCTCATACTACATCAGTCAAGGGCTTTCAGGCCAAGTGTGTATCAGTACTACAGAGAATTCTCTTTGGAGTCAAATTTACTGAAAATAAAAATGGTTCACAGTTTACCTTTCAAAAACCCCAATTCCTGACCCTGACAGCATGACAGCACACAAAGTACTTTAACTAGACTTATTTGCACTTCAAATAAGATGGAACTGAGAAGAGAAGCTTACAAAAGACCTTCTTTTTCTCCTCCAAGTTACATTTACCCAGGCCACCTGTATTTGTATTTTATATTTTTGTAAGAATGGGCCAAAATATTTTAATCATTGAGCAGCAGCAGAGGACAATCTCTTTTGTAGCTTCTCACAAAATCACCATCTTCATCTGCATTGGGTACCCATCTGTATCTCTCCAGTGACTTTGCCATGATGGATGGATGTGCAGTGGAATTTTGTTTGTGACATGGGGTCAAGTCACATTATTCTGTTTCTGCTGCACAAAGGACTGTAATTCCTACACCAAGAGCAAGTTACAGGACTTTGAATTCCTTAGTATGACAGAGTAGCATAAGAAGTAAAAGAGAATCTAAGATAAATGTCACTAATGATTGTCTTCATAGTGGCAGTGTTTGGGAAGCATTCCTAGTGTGCTGAGTGGTTTCTAAGGCCTTGGTCAGAGACAACCAAAGGCACAGTGGGACACGGTGCAAAGGCACATCCAAATGGCCCTTACAGCTCTGTCTGGGAAAGGTCTCCCTCACCACAGGTTCTCATTCCCTTTCTCACACCTGCCCAGTTGCCTTTAGAGGCTCAGAGTAAGCTTGTCATGGAGATGAGTTAGATGGAAAGTAATCTGGGTTTTCAAAATCAAAATTTTCTATACTATTGTGTTTAAAAAAAAAAAAAAAGACCGAGACCTGAGTTACAATCTCATCTCTTCACCTCTGCCTGTCACTCCCTGTACACCAGAGGTGTTGTGAGGTTTGGGAACACATTATTCCTCTGAGCTCACTGCAGGTCAAAAAACATGTCCTGATCTAAATATTTGCAAGTATCTTCTATAATTGCACTTTTCTACAAACATTTACCCAAGCAAATCATAATAGCTTGTGAGCACATTTCAGGTATTCAAGTTTCCAGCATCCATGTGTTTCTAGTCTGCAAAACCTTAAATTCTTCACTGGTTTGAGCAGGTGTCAACAATGAAAAGGTCACCAAGCCCCTCTCATTACCGAAGGTTGAAAAGAGAGAATCCAGCTCAGTGTCCTTTTGCTTTGCTCAGCAGCAGCCACAGCTGCAATCTTTCTGTCCTGAGTGCACAAATGGATGGTATTTATTCCTCTGCTACAGAAATAACCACACTTACTAAATAAATAAATAATAACAACAGAACTGTGGGGAATGGGCTTTCAGCCTAGGCAAACACTATGGGTGAAATTCTGGCTCTGCTGCAGACAGTTGCAAGACTCTTAAATATCTGTGTGGAAGCCTGGATTAAATGTAATGATGTATCTGCTGGTTTGAGCTAGAAAAGCTGATCCTTTAGCTCAATGATAAATCACTTCCATTCACAGCTGGGAACCATCTTTTTCGGCCCAGATTGGCTTATCTTCTCAATTCATTAATTTCCTCTCCATTTATCAATTGCATATGTGCCCAGACATTTACACAGGAAACATCTGGTACTCGGCAAATGAAGAATGGTAAATGTACAAGTGAAGAGATGATATATGTGACATTATTGTGGGGTTTATTTTAAAAGCATGAATCTTGGCTTGGGGATACATGTATTCACCCTCAGATTTCAGATTTGAAGCCATTTGAAATTATGAAAAACATTATTATTTCTTGTGATTTTATATATGACATTGTCATGTCTAGAACTTTGGCAGGAAAGACGTTGCTAGAAATTGAATGTCTTGAATTTTTGTGCGAGATTTTTGCTTTTAGTAGTGGTTTTAATTAGAAATTAAAGAATATACTGAATCAGCAAAAAATGAAATCAAAAACTAGTGCAGACCCTTGTGGTTATCTAAACATTTGCAACATTAATCAATAACCATATTATTATTATTTTGCATTTATTCTGTAGATGGTGTTGCCCCTGTATATTTGTCCATTATATTAAAAAAACACAAAAAACCCCACAAAAACAAAAACCCCACCAAACAAACAAGAAAAACCAAACAATGCTTTGGTGAAGAGATAACAGTGACACTGTGGTGCATAACTCTGAAATGGCTCTAAACCTCACAACAGCCAGGAAATACATAATCTCATCAACATCCTGAATTTCATGCCTCAAAAATTGCATCCATGGTTCAAATTTTTTTTTTTTTTTTTTTTTTTTTTTTTTTTTTTTTTTTTTTTTTTTTTTTTTTTTTTTTTTTTTTTTTTTTTCTCTAAACAGCTTTACTTGTAAGATTTCCTTTCTAAAGAGAATCCCAGGGGATTGGGGACAAGAATGTTAAGGATGTTCTGCTGCCTGTGGAAGATGCTCATTTAACCAGGTGGTNTTTTTTTTTTTTTTTTTTTTTTTTTTTTTTTTTTTGCCACTCTAAACAGCTGTACTTGAAAGATTTCCTTTCTAAAGAGAATCCCAGGGGATTGGGGACAAGAATGTTAAGGATGTTCTGCTGCCTGTGGAAGATGCTCATTTAACCAGGTGGTTCCTGCAGGAACCCATCCTTGCAGAACCTCCCCCTCTCTATTGGATTGGACTAAGGACAAGCTCAGGAGGCAGCTGTGACTCTGAAGCTGTGCAGGAGATGCTGTTCTGAAGATGCTCCTCTCTTTAGCCACCACTTTATTGCTCCAGTGAGACAGATGTACAAATCTGCCCTCATTTTGTTCAAGGTTTCTGCTGCAAGCATTGCAAGACCTATGAAAGTATATTTTCTTCCATTTAAAGTTCTTTATAATCCTCAGGCTAAGGATCATGTTGTCTTTAAGCACCTGGTGCTTTATGAGTTTTTATGGATTCATTCTCATGATGTGCAATACTTCTGTGAGGTAGGCAAGGACTATTTTCTTTTCTTACAGCTAGAGAACCAAAACACATGGAAAATCAATTATTTCACTGAGGATTTGTTCAGAAAGTTTTGTTGGGCCAGAGAAATATTCTCAGTTCATACAAGACCTGGTAGGGTTCTTGTAGGAATATGGCTTTAGGACATCTCAATATCAGTGAATCAACAAACATCTCTGCTTTCTTCCTGTGGGAGTTATTGAAATTAACTTTCTACTTCATCCACAAAAATAAGAGTGACATTTTAGTATCCTTCTATGAGTTCAGAAATTAAGAAAGGCAAGATACAATTTTTTAAAGTAATTCAGCTTTTGAGTGTTTTAGTCAAAAGGACAGAAAGGGACATGCTTACATGAATTGTGTTCCATTTAAAATATTACGTTTGTAGCATAATGACCTGACTAGGAGAATAGAAAATGCCTATAATTTGAGGACAAACATTTGCAAAAGTCATTCAGTGAGCCAGGAGGACACTGTTGACATTAACAGTTAATATTTCCACATCTGTTACCTTTGATTTGGAAGGGGAGATTCTGCTACGACTGAAATCGTGCCACCTGCATTTCCCACCAAGGGAAATAAAATTTGGCTTATGAAATAAATAAATAAGCAAAGTCCCAGCCAAACTGGGTCTCCCCTCCTGTTTTAGATCAGTCTGACTGCAGATCTGGCCACCAGCAGGTGCAGGGTTCATATACCTTATTGGTTTTTCTCATGTCTAACAAGACAGCCTGGCATTGTAAACTTACTCAGCTCAAAAACCCCAAATAAACCAATTCAGTGAAGGCAAACAGGATCAAATCACACCTTGATCCATGAGAAGTAAATTTGTACATTTCTGAAGTTTACTGGAGAGAGAAATCAGAGCATTTTACCACTGAATATTCAGGATTGCATTCAATTTAATAGCAGGTACCCAGAAAATCAATTTGGCTTAACCAAGAGAGGCTTTATTTTTATACCAGTAAGAGTTAAAAGAGGATATAAACACTGTAGAGGATTTACATTTTCATGGGAATCCTGAGCACTCTTTAAAATCACTTCCTTTCCCTTTTTTCAAGCTAAGGGCTATATTCTATATTATTGAAATTGTGTTTCTTGAAAATAGGGCAGGAAAAACCCAGGATCTGTTGTAGTGTGGAAAACATCCAGGCTGTGCAGAATCAGGAATTACACCTTCAGAAGTTTACAACTGAAGACTGAATTGTATGTAGAGACAGTAATATATTTTAGAGTGCATTAAATGATCCAGCTTTAAACCA